AAATGAGCCGATCTTAGCTATTTTTAGCGCACAATAGAGTGGAGCAGTTTGTGTAGTTGTTGCTTTTTATTCTTGGTTCAGCTTATGCCAAAGCATTTATAGGTTCACGCGCTGTGGTCTTGTTTCTTCCGCTGATCGAGATGATTTTACGCTCAGCAACAAGTTGGTCCTACTCATACAGATCCTCAAAAAATGTGAAGAGATTGGCGATAAGTTGTAAGTTTTGGTTTTTTCCTATTCTAACCTTCTTTCTTTCAAAAATTCACATAAGTTTATAGGCTTGTTTTCTCCCAATCTCTGGAATCTTTGGGATTGATTAAAAGAACGCTAGAATATTTGGACGAGACCAGGCAATGGTTTTCTGATGGTCATGAAGCAATAAAAGCGGATGGAGAGGTCAGTCGCGTTTTCTTGATATATTCTTGATAGTTTTTTTTAGAATTTTATTCTTTTTTAGAAGTGGGGTTGGAAAGAAGGTCGCGACTACATGGTTATTGATGGTTCTGTTCAGTCAGGAAAACGGGACACCGTACAAGTAAAATTCAACAATCCAAGTAATCTGCGAGCAAGGTAGTCAAAGAGCAAAATGTCAAAGTTGAGGATCTAACGCGCGACTGCTTTTCTAGGTTGATGCTGATATCTACTCGTGCGGGTTCCCTAGGAACAAACATGGTTGCTGCGAATCGAGTAATTATTTTTGATGCATGCTGGAATCCGTCTCACGATACACAGTCGCTCTTCCGTGTTTATCGATTTGGTCAAACTAAGCCGGTCTACATCTATAGGTTTATTGCACAAGTACGTTCTCTATAAATTTTTTCTGTCAGATTCTGGATTAGGATGTCTATCTATTCAGGGCACTATGGAAGAACGGATATACAAGCGCCAAGTAACAAAGGAATCAACTTCCATGCGGGTTGTCGATGAGGCTCAAATTCAGCGACACTATGATGGCCATGATTTAGAAGAACTTTACCTGTTTGTTTTGGAAGTCTTGCCTTTTTGGAAAATGTTTCAGAATCGCGTTCTAGGTTCAACCCCAATGAGCTGGATGAAAACGATTCTCAATCGAGACCAAGTTTTGCTCCACCCAAAGTGAGTTGTAATGTACGCAGTTACTGATTATAAACTAACAAAGTTTATATAGGATCGTCTTCTTGCCGAAATTCTCCTCTCCAACAAAGATTCGGTTGTGGATTACTTCCAACATGACACTTTGTTTGCTCATGTTGAAGAAGAAAAACTGACTGAAGAGGAACTAAAGGAGGCTTGGGATGATTATGAACGCGATAAGGTAGGTGTCAGCTCCAAAAGATGTTGTTGACTGTTAGAGTATACTATTGTTAGCTTAGGGCAGTTTTATTTGCGAGCTTTCTATGCGCAATGTTTTCAGAATATGAGCGCTTATGGAAGAGCTGGACAACTTGGTGCTACAGGAATTAGTGGTCTCGGAAATCTCGGTATGAATCCCATGACTGCTTACCAACAAATGCAGCAGCAACTTGTGCGCACTCAGGTACGTATTTCTAATCTTCTTTCCTTTTGAAGTATCAAAGAATTAATTGCATCATTTTCGCGTTTTGGTTGTTCTAACTGAACCTTTTCGTAACTTTAGGCTTTACAACAGCTTAATCGTGATGTTGTATATATCAACTGCTTCAATATCCCACTCATGGACCATGATACTGCGATGAAGGTTTGTGTCTGAC